ATATTTTAATATAATATGCTTGTTTTTACCTATATATTTAATAATTTTTTTCAGTATATAAATAATATTTTAATATAATATGCTTGTTCTTAAGACTGAGTTTAACTATTCGAACAAAAATTCATCCGAACATATGCTTTTTCGAACACATTTCATTCGAACACATTTTATTCGAACATATCATTTTCGAACACATAACCCCTTATCTATATTTATTATTTATGCTGTCCAGTACAAAATTATTCTGTAAAACGAACCTTCTGTAAACAAAAAGAATAAAATCGTACTTAAGATCAAATACATTGGCTGTTCTGAGTAGGTATTAAATCAGAAATCACTAGTTATCTTAAATGTATATATGTTATTAAAAAATTTACTCTACAAAAGTGAAAAGACTCATCGTAAAATATAATCGTTATTTAGTAATCTGATTTATTTCTTCTTTTCTAATTATATCTTTAAATTTCTATATAAATAATATATTTTATTATATTTTATTAATTCTTGGGTACCTACCATTTACAAAAATATAGGTTAATTTTCAGGTGCCCATTAGTTACATATGGTATTTTAGTATTAAAAGTGTATCTTGCATATATTTTAAAAACAATAAGATTCATGATGCTTATCAATATATTATTAATTTTTAAAAATTTAGATTCGTTTACTTATATTCATATTAATATACATTTTTAATATCTTAAGAAAACTATTTATTAGTGTATTTTTTAATTCATAAAGACATAACAATTGTAATTTTTATTTTATAAAAGTCATTTTACATGATTGAGCATATTTATTGACATTTTTAGTGCATATTTGAATATTTCCCTAACCATTGAATTCACGCAGTCCTAATAAATAATGTTAAATATAATTAATCAATATATTACTATTGTATTTTTGTTTTATTGTACAGGCTAACTTAATCAAGTCATTGGGCATTATAAACGACAAAGATGATACAATTAAACTGGAAGATTTAATGTTGATCATTAAACATCATTTGTTTCACAATAAACATAAAGTTGAAGATAAAATAGTCGACAACGGCACCATTAGCTATAAGTATAACTAACAATAGTTATAAATTTATAACTAATATCATCGATATTTTATTACAAATTCTAATATCAATAATTTAAGATAAATTATAAAATAATATATTATGTACACCTACTGTAATTTGTACAAAATTATAATAATATAATAGGTAATATTATAATATACCTAATATAATTGTTTATATTGTGTGTACATATTTATACTTTATACATAGTACCTATTCATGAACCGTTACTTAAATACTTATTATACTTCCTAATTTTCATATTAATCGTACTTAAATATCAGGTGTGGCTAACATGAATATGTTCGCGAGCTACACATAGGTGTATACATTTCAAAGAGCCAAAATATTTATAAATAAATTTTATAATTCTACATAATTCTATATTTATATAATATATACAAATATGTATATATTTATTATATATTATTGTTAATTTACCTGTATACTATATACTTATTTCTATATATTGAAAAAATTTTCCCTATAAAATGTATACGAAAAAAATATAGAAATTTCAGTTTTTGTAAATAAGACGCGAGGCGCGAGCCACCTAGGTGCTTACGACTATGACGCGATCGAATGCGACTCTCGATTTGTAAATTGGCCAATTCTGTTATAATATGTTAAATTATATTACTATAAAATAAATATATTAATACCTTTTAGATGTGTGGAATTCCCATAGGTGTGCGGACATTTTAATTCCAGAAGGAGCATACAAAATAAAGCAGCCAAATAAATTTTGAACTGTAACAATTAATAGTAATTGTATATGTTTGTATGATACAGCTATAGAGGCAGGGCTTGTGTTATTGACACACTACGGTGGCTAATTAAAATATTAGCAGGCGATCTTTTACTTACAACTGAATTATAATTCATAATATTTTGACTAGGTAAGTACACCTATATTTTTAGTAAGCTATATAGGGTGTAGCAGGGCCGACTATTTGACAAATTTTCATTACGAATATCACTACCTATAATATTTGTCAAATAGTATGCTGTTACACCCTGTACTGTAGATACGATTTATTCTACAAAGGATCAATGTATTATCTAAAATGGGATCCATTTTATCTCCCTTCTGATATTAAATAATTTGAAGAATACATTTCTCCTGGGTTACCCGACTGTCGACTGTGACTAAGCGGTTTTAACTTGCACCGTCAAAAAATGTTGCAGACTCACCACAATTTGAACCTTCTGCAAGCACCCGTGCACACGCCCATGTGAATAAGTAATTATGTAAATTAATTTTTATTACATTTTATGTCACGTGTATTGAATACTTTTTAAAAATCTATATATGTCACGAGACAACAGATTAACATTTTTTAAAATAATTTGATGAGGGCGACGAGGCTTCACGTTCTAAAACTAAAAAATATAAATTATATTATACATAGTAACTGGTAACCTTACATATTAGACTATATATACGTATTGTATACTTTTATAATACATTTTTAGATTCTGAGCGGAGCGATGAATGTATTGTTTTTACCATGATGTGTGCTTTTTTTTT